AGAGCCAGGCTCAGCCACTGGGCTCCATAGTCCGGTCACTCTCTTCTCGCCCGCCCCGTTCCTGCTCTTCCTTTCCACTGCTCTCGTCAGACCTTCTGGTGCCCCTGCCCAAACCCTAGACAGCCAGAGAATTACCAGCCGCAGTTGGTAAAGCCATTCTGTTCTGCCAGTGCTGTTTTCATTCAGAATTTTCTGGACTCACAACCTTCAGCACCACCCACCCTCCAGCATTCTCCAAGGCACTTTGACCACTGAGGCAAACACAGAAATGGCTTGAGTTGGCGGCCGTGGTGGCGCATGCCTGTAGTCCAGCACTTGGGAGGCTGAGGCAGCAGGATCACCGGGAGTTCAAGGCCAGCCTGGGACATATCGTAAGTTCAAGGTCAGCCTGAACTGCATAGTGAGACCTTGTCTAGAAAGAAGCAAAGCAAAAAAAAAAAAGGAATGGGTTGAGTCTTTCACATGGAAGGACACCAAGACATGTGGGGGCCGACAGGAGGGCAAGACGGAGCATTTCCAACTTCTTCAGGGCAAGGCTTGGGCTCTGACATGAATCTATCTGCCTCGGACACAAGATAGCATTTCTGAGAAAGCAAAGCAGGAACAAATGCAAAGTAGTAATGCAAACAAATCTTCCTCCCTCCCATGGAGATGCCCAATAAGTGCTAGTTGAATGGAATTGTTGGTTGAAAAGATTGTCTTGCTGATGTACAAACTCCTTAATTCTTATTTTCATGCGTTGGAAAGGTCAAGTTACTTGTACTTTGTAAACTACTCCACACAAAGCTCCTCCTGAGGGTTTTAAAAACAACATTGCGCTGATCAAGAACATTACATTTTGTTTCCAATTCAAACACAAACATCAACCAACTCTATGGAAAATCTTCTTTAAAATGATTTGTTTACTAAAATTGTAAGGCATGTGACACAAAATTTACAATTTAAACCATTTTTAGTGCGTAGTTCAGTCGTATCGAATACAGGTCACAGGCTAGGGTAGCTCAGTGCTAGAGCGTTTGTCTAGCATGGGTAAGGGTTCAGTCTTTCTGTCATCTCTAGATATTAGTTCTAGAGATGAGAGACCTAGATACTAGTTCTTTTGAGAAGTCTCCCACACTTCCTTTCCCAACCAATTTTAGCCACACTCTATCTTCCTGCCTCAGTTCCACCTACACACTCATGGGTTTTGCACCTAGCTGAGCCCGAGCCCCACACGGGTGTGTTGACTTTGCCACATACTGTGCCCCAGCATCCGCAGCCTGGCCAGGCCCGGACAAAATGCAGAGTCCTCCTGTGCCACCGTGATTTTCCTCCGTGTGCTCTGTTTCCCAAAGTATTGGTTCCGCTTTTGCAAACCACACACCTGGAGGTCATTACCCTTTCTGCCCTAGCCCATCAAACACCAAGTGTTGCTGATTTTACTTCAGAAGCCTGTTTTTAAAATCCCTTAGTGGTTCTGTTATCGGATGGAGGGTCCTGTGGAACTTCTTTCCGGGTTCTTGGTCTCTCTAACAAAGAATTGGACAAGACACAGAAAGGGCAGCAAAAGTGTACATTTATTGAAGACAGAAAAGAAGCACACTCTCCAGACTGAGAGAGGGCTGGTGAACAGGATCACAGCGGCCCAGGGGATAAGGGAAAGGGATTTTCTTTCGGTATCAAAAATTCCTACATGGGCCAGGGATTTAGCTCAGCGGGTCCGCTGCCTGCCTCGCAAGCTCAAGGACCCAAGTTCCATCCCTGGTGCTAAAAACCAAAAACCAAAACAAAACAAAAATTTCTAGCTTATCTCTCCTATCTGCAAATAAAGCATTGGGAAAATTGTACCATGACTCACTCACTTGGCATCATGCCAGGTACAGAGGAGAGCCCCAAATACCAACGGATGAGCTAGAATTCCACCCTGTATGTGACAAGGAAATAAAACAAGGCAACAGGGGGCGGGGGGAGGGACGCTCCCAGTACAGTGACACCATCATCACTGTACAAACAACGCATCGGAAAAATGCTAAGACAAGGCCGAATTTCCTGTCCCTGGGGCTTAAGACTTCCAGAGCTGTGGCAAGGGCCCATTTGGGAAGCTGGGTTACATTTCTTGAGGTAGGGACAAGAAGCATTTCCCCAGTGGCTTAAATGAAAACACTAGAGCTGCTCATTTGGAAAGTAAGTTTCTCGCAGTCCCACCCACTAGAGATGACAAGTGATGACGATGCCAGAAGTGCGGTGTGTTTTCTGTGTATGCGATGTGACCATCCCTCACCACCAGATCACCGAGGGGTTTTTTGGATGACAACAGCCACACACCAGCCTTGAATGGAGCGGAATGGGACATCTTCCACCTGCATTTTATGCCCAAGTTTCAGACAGCGAGCATCTAGAGTTTCTATAAGAAAGGATTTATTTAAAAATGTATCGAATTTTATCGGATGCCATGCTTCACAGGGAAAATTTGCACAGCAGGGATACCTAAAATAACCCGCACGCAACACACCTTCAATTACTGCTAAAATCCACAAAGCAAGCAATGTCACATTGACTTGATGTCAGAGAAGAAAGCCCAGGCTCATTGCTCCCCTCACCCCTCTCACGGTACCAGGACCCTAGGGTGCATGGAGCCCACTGGTCAATGAAGGAGCGAGTCCTCATCTTGTGTGTGAATCGGCTGCTGTCAAATCCCTGCTCAAGCCTTACAAGATGTCCTTAGAAAAACTACATAATCTGAGTCTCAGTTTTCTCATCTGAAAAATGAGACCGATTGTACTTTTCGTTTAAGGAAGCGATGTTCTCTCTTCCTCCTTCTCCTTCATCGTTGCTTCTTTGTATGGGTTGCACAGAGCTCCACTGCTCGGGGATAAAGTCATTTGTGTTTGTTCCTGTAGAGAGGGGTTAACTAAATGCAGAGAGTAGACTGTTAAGTGGAAGTTTGGTCTGAGATCCTGTGTGTCTGTATCTGTTTCTTTGTGTCTATGCCTATGTCTATAACTAGGGCTATTTTTGTCTATCTGTGGCGATGTCCATGTCTATGGCTATGTCTGTATCTATGTCTGTATCCACATCTGTTTCTATGCCCGTGTCTCTGTGTGAACACAGGCCTTGGCGCACTCGATGTGGTAGGGCAGGTTAGTGCCAGATCGTGTGGACCAGGTTGATGGTTAGTGTGGCGAGGGTGTGGCTTGGGATGATGCAGCCAGTGTTGTTGCCCACGGCAGCATGTGTGTCTTTCGGCTCCCGAGGGTTCCCTATGGCCCAAGAGAACTTAAGGGGTGGATGGCCAGCTCTGCATTCTTCTTTGAACTCCAGCATGAACACCTTTCCAATCCGTGCATTGTCGTCATCCTCCAGCACTGCGCTGAGGGCTACTGCAACTCCATCCTTTTTCGATCCAGCACACAGCAGCAACAGGCTACCAGTCTGATTTTCAGGGGCTGTGTGGCCTTGAAACCCAGGAGCTGGGAAGCATCTGACAACCTGACGAATGTCTTTCTTCTGGGTGTTGTTTTAAGCTTTTAAAAATGTAAAATGGCATCTATGACGTAAGATGTTTCATAACATGCCCTCTTCACCTAGGATTTTTTTTTTTTTTTTGGTACCAGGGATCGAACTCGGGACCTTTTGCTTGCAAGGCAGGCGGCAGACCCACTGAGCTAAATCCCCGGCCCTAGGGTTTTATAAATATTTTTTTAGTACCCCTATATGGCCTGGTGGTAGTCACATGCAGGTATGCCTTAATTTATGATGGAGTTCTGGCTGAAAATGCTGTGGTGAAGTTGAAAATCTCACAGGTCAAGGATGCAGTGAGCACACCTAACTACTTCGAATCCAGCCCTCAGCACAACATACTGCAGGGTGGTGCTGTCTCCATGGGACTGGGGGGCTGGGAGGTGCCGCTCAGGCCATGGCCCAGCATGAGGATGGGACCACGTGGTGTTAGCTCAGCGAAGCCATTGAGTTTGAAGTACAGTTTCTACTGAATGCATTATTTCCACCCCACTGTCAAGTAAAAAAATCATGTCAAGCCATTTTAAACTGGGGATCATTTTTGATTAATCAAGTCTACTGATGGACAGATGTGCCATTTCCAATGTTTCACTGTTTTAGATAACCAGATAAATTTAATTGCATTGCACTTTATTTTCCTATTTCCTGCGAGAACTCATTCCTCAAACTGGGCAGAGTGGTGCACATCTATAATCCCAGCACTTGGGAGGCTGAGGCAGGAGGATTGCCAGCTTGGACTACATAATGAGGAAGTCTCCAAAAAAAAAAAAATTCCTTACAAATGGGACTTGCTAAGTCTACCTTTATCATCAATTTAGACCTCCGCCAACATGAAAGATTGCTTTTTCTTACTTTTGCCCTCATCCACTGTGGCATGAATATTAGGAATTTCTCATACTGCCAATGCTCTTCTAGTTGCACCTGATTCTCCATTCAGAAGTTGAAAGATCTGGTTTAGAGAAAGGGGTGTGTCCAACATGGGCTGGATCACACAAAGTCCGGGTTGGTCTGAGAACTTGCTGCATTAGCCTCTTATCATCCATTTCAGAAAACACACACCAGGTGTAGGCGCTGGAACGTGGGCTTTGCCATTTACCAGGATTAGAATCCTAGCTGGCCCTACTCTGACCTGTGTGACTCTGGGCCAAGTGTTTAATAATCCTTCATCTGTAGGACAAGAATGAAAATATGCTGTAGGTCTGAGCACAGAGGAAGTTACAACCCTGTAAATCCCTTTAAACTCAAAGGAGCAAGTCAAAGAAGTATCTCTGTGATGTGAGATCCAGGTAGCCAGCGGGTAGAACTGTGTTGCAAGAACATCTTCTTTGAGAGGGAAGGTCCAGGTGGCCTGGCGGGCTCCAACTGGACTAGCGGGTGGTCCCACGCTTCGGTCTGTCCCCTTGCTCTGCACAAAGGTAGTAGGGGGAGCTGTGTATTTCACATAAAAGGCAAAACATGCCACGAGAAATCTCTCAGGTGAAGAATCAGAGAAACAGTCCCAATGTGTTAAGAAATATTAGTTTATTTAACCAGTTTTCACAGCTGAATATTTGTTCTATAAAACCTTTACAGATTGTACAGTTTATATATAGTTCAAACTACTGAACGAAAAAGTAGGTCCCACAGATGCAAAAATACTGTACCAATCGATCCAAGGTAAAGGCAGATTTACACACTATACAGCTCTCCGTGTGGCCGGGGAGTTGGTCAGTTCTAAGTATAAATTTCAAAACTGTACAAAAATAAGGTTTTGATTTTATGTCATTCTTCATACATTCAATATGATTGCAAACCCAGAACCCCAGCCACTCACAGGCTTCTGCAGTCGGGAATCAGCCCCCCTCCTGCAGGGGGCGCCCTATCCCACCGGGTGCTCTCAGCCCCGTGCCGTGCATAGCACGTGGCGTGCAGGAAGAGTGAGGACCGAGAGCAGTTTAAGTGTCGACTAAAGGTAGTTCTTTTTGTTTGGAAAGGACTTTCTGTATTTAATAGTGTGTCAGAAGAATTTTAACTTAGTAAATAAAATATATTCTAAGTGAACCTAAAAATTACACTTTATAAACACAAAAATACTTTTATTGGGTGTAATACATCAATCATGTCTGCAGATAGAAACCCAAAACTGTATATAAAGTAGTATTTCTCACCCAGCAACAAGAAGCACTTAATGGAGTTATTTTCCAAAAAGGTCAGAAAAACTACTTAAAGCCCACTAGGACTACCTTGTAACTTAGATATTCATTGTTAACCTAGTGAGCGACTCACTAATACTGCAAAACAGGCTTTCTTCTAGAGACAGTGGTTTCCTCATGTTAACTGGGTAAGAAGTGGACATACCAGGAAAGAAGGGGGAACCCAAGGGTGCTTTGGAATGAACCCTAAGTGCCTAAGTCCGTCCCAGGAAACACTTTTCCTAGAAGCTGAGTTTTGCTTCTAATTTAGAATTCTGCATCTCGGAAGTATCTGTGCCTGGCTCCTTGGAGGCAAAGGAAACATCCCAGATCTTTGTATCTCTATGCGGGGCACAGAAGGTGAGGCTGGCTTTTAGGAGGGAAAAATGAGGAAAACAAACACTCCAGACTTTCCTGTCACCCAAAGAACAAAACACAATTCTCTTTTATACAGTACCAGCCAAAGGAAACAAAGAGCGAGTTTCCGAGAGCAGTCTAGTGCTCACCACTCCGCTTTTACACTTGTGTGTGGATAAGTATAAAATAATGCTGTTTGGACAAAAGAGCTTTGTAGTTATTTATTTTAAAGGTAGAGGACTGAAAAGCTCCTCGGAAGTAGCTCGGATGTCTCCAGTCCTGCTTCCAAGGATGAGCTACGGGTGAGCGTGTTTCAGACCGTGAGGATGGACCATGGCAACTGCAGCCGCCGACGTCCCGCTCAGGCCAGCTCTAGTGTCCCCAACGCATGGCCACCGATCAGAACTCGTCGATTTTCCTCTGCAAGTACTTCAACATGGAGTCCATGCCCTGCGCTGAGCCCCAGATCTTCTTCAGCACCTCGCACTCCCTCTCGTTGGCCTGCTCCAGCTCCAGCTTCATGTTACATCGCACAAGTGCCTTGGACTCCTCCAGCACCTGGCGGACGACAAGCGGGGGTTAGCGAGCTCGCCTCCCTGCGCCTCCCGTGCACTGCGGCGGCCAAGCCTGGCCACTCCTTCCTCCGTACTGTGCTCAGTGGACCTTGCTGTCAGGTCTGATGTGTATTTAAGGAACAGCTGACCGCTTGTACCTGTGGGTCCCACACCTACGGATTCAATCAACCTTGGATGTAAAAATCTGGGGGAAATGCATAACCAACTATGCCTGTGCTGAACATGGGCAGACTCCCCACCTCCCATCTTTATTCCCTAAAAATACAGTGTAACCACTATTGACAGCATTCACACTGCATCACAGGTCATCTACAGACCCTGTACGGTGCATAGAAGATGCCCAGGACACAAGTCCTGCAGCACTTTGCTGAAGGGATCGAATACCTGTGGACTTTGGTATCCCTATGTATTGTTTTCTCCAGACCCAGCACCCCATGGAGACGGAGGGAGGACTATTTCACTAAATGATGGGCAAACTCTCAACTTCAAGAGAGTGCTTCAACTCTTTCCAGACAGCTGGGTGGCTGCACGCTGGCCCCCACCCAGCCCTGGGGCAGCGCTGGGCCAGGCACTTCTGCTGAGGGCTGGTGTGGGGCCCTGAACTGGAGTTCACTCCACCAATGCACAATACAAACCCTGAGTATGCCCACTGAGTAGATTTATTAAACGGAATTTAATTCTAAGGCCATTCAAATATCTGGGACAGTTTAGATGTGAGATCGTGTCAGTTAGCACGAGATAACATTTCATCCTGTTATTTGCTAAATGCAACTTTGTGAGAAGACTGAACATCACTCAGCCTTTTTATTAAGCAAAGACCTCTGGCCCACTGTGTGTTGGGAGAACCTAAACATGATTACGAGAGGGTTTTGCAAAGACTGAAGAATGACATGGATGTTGGTGCTTGTAGACGCTCCTGAACGATTATGTTTTGAGACTTCTTGCTGAAGTCTAGCCCTTCAATCCCGGCCGTGTTCTAAGGAGGACCAGGTGAGCAGCCTGGCGCGATGCCACTAACAGCGGCTTTTGTCAGCGCTGTGCAGAAAGGCAGCTCTGCTGAGAGCTAATGTGCAGGAGCTAGGAAATGCTTTACTGTCTAATTTATGAACTCGATGGAGGAAAAGGCCAGATATATATACAGATGTAAAGTAATGCGCAAGAGACGTACAACGGGATTACACGAGGCGAGCTCCTTGATGCGAACCATGACTTCCTGGGTGAAGGTCCCCGGCCAGAACACCTGGGACACCAGGCCCTTGCCGCACGCCTCCTGTGCTGTCAGCTTCCGCCCGCTGAGCAACATCTCATTTGCCTGCAAGGAAGAAGAGGCGATCGGATGTGATGTGAAACGGGAGGGGAAGCAGGCAGGGAGGACCCGTCCCAAAACTCATCCCTCAGAAATGCACAAGGGCACAAGTGTGAGAATACTGGGCTCCGCCACACGCCCAGGGGCTGCTAAGAATAAAGTGCGTGCAAGGCACAATCAACTGAGCAGACGGGAGAGCAATCTAGTTTCCCAGTGACTTCCGAGAAAATAGGCTTACCTAACGTGTAATACAGAATCACACGGACTTAAAAAATCTAAATGAGAAAAGATCCGTGGTTAATCTGGAAAGTCACTGGTGTAATTTCCTTTCCTCCTAAATCATGTCAGCCTCTCCTGTGCGCGGGCTCACTGAATAGCAACACAACCCCGGGAGCGTGGGCTGCAGACAACGGCAGGCACTTGAGCCAGCCAGGGAAGGACTACTATGCCCTCTGTCCCGGGGCCGGGGACTGTTCCTGACACAGAGACAATGTTCTGTGCTGACACAAGGCTGCTGCTGACATCCTGGAGGCCACGCTATCATCTGGAACTAAAAGGAGAAACTGACCAGGACCTGAGTGTGCCCCAAACTACTGCGGGCGAAGAGGGTCTGAGAGTCACACTTGACTCACTGGAGAAAGTGACACGTTTTTGTTTTTTAAGAAAGTTAGTGTGTGTGTGTGTGTGTGTGTGTGTGTGTATGCAAAACGGACCTAACCTCTGTCCTGGATTCGACGCACCTTTCAGTTCTCAGCACAATCTACATGGATCTCACACCACCAGCGCCAGGCGCAGTCACGGCGGTGGGGTGTGAGGGGAGAGCACGCAGCCCAACAGGCCAGGCTCCTGTCTGGATTCTCTCACAGGGCCAACCTTCCCGAAGACCTGGCCGTAAGCTTCTGAGGCTCAGGGGAAGAGCCGTGGGTGGCTCCCTTTTCCAGAGGTGAAGTGACCCCGAAAAGGCCCTCCAGCCGCCAAGAGGTCTGCCTGCGAAGGCCACACACACAGGGCGCACCGCAGGGCTGACGCGGCCTCCAGCAGAGGCAGGGGTGGCGAGAGCGGTCACCGCATGGGCTGCTGGGGAGCTCAGTCGCGGCCAGCGTCGGGATGGAGAGTCTGGCATGTCCTGTTCTCTCGCCCCTGGCTATGTCACCAGCCCTTCCCGAGAGAGCACGGTCCATGAATAAATGATGGATGGACCACTTGGCTGTGCCTGACACCGATGGAGGACGGCAGGGCGGGGTGGGGCGCCAAGGCCACGTACCAGGGCAATGGCTGTTTACTCCCCCAGGTGTCTCGTTCTCAAGAGACAGAGAAGACGGGGCCACAGCTCAGCCCGGCAGTCAAGCACGAGGCCTGATCTCAAGTCAATCGAGCCAGAGCCTGAGCCTGAGCTGTGGCAGCAGGTGCCAGCAGCCACGCCCAGCCCAGTGCGCAGGGAGGGGCAAGCGCTGGAAGACATCTTCCTCGCCGCCCTTGCAGACCCGCTGTCCTGCTGCGCTGCCACTTCCCTGCACGTCCTTTCCTTTCCCTGGAGGGCATCTGGAAGCCCCCACTGCTCCCTGCTGGGCCTCTGCCTGGTTCTGGGGTGGGCTCGTCCCTCCCAGATGCCTGCACCCTCCTCAGCCCCACTGGGTGGCGCCCACTCTCCCAGCCTTGCCCGCCGGCCCCCTCTCCTATTCTAGATGTCAGGCGTGCAGGACATGAAGGACGTGTCTGAGTTCACTGAGTACAAATGACAGGACCAACTTGAGGCTGCTAACCCTTCCTTGGAAACAGGCACCGACTCAGTTTAAATGACAGTCATCAAGGGCCAGGGATTTAGCTCAGTGGTTCCGCCGCCTGCCTTGCAAGCGCAAGAACCCGAGTTCGATCCCCAGTACCGAAAAAAAAAAAAAATGACAGTTCATCAAAACAAAAACAAAATCCAAATCCAATGAAATAACTCCCTGAGAAAAATATTCCCTGGGTCAGATGAGCAGGAATGGGCTCAATTTGAATGAGCCCACCCCAGCCCCTTCTCAGGAGTTTAGACGAGAGGATTTACACTCCACCCACGCTGCAGACTTGCAGGGAGGACTAAATGCAGACAAGCCACAAGGACAGCTGATGTGGCCAGAGGGAGGGAGGCAGAGGGCTCTTCCTGGCGGCCATAAAGATGACAGGGAAAGGCAGAGGCCTGGTGAGGAGGGCAGCTGAGGGCCCGCCTCACGCCTGGGGCTGTCTTCAGGCTCCAGGGGTGCACCCTTGGTGAGCAACGGAGGGCTCCAGCGCTGTCACCTGGGCCATCCTTTGGGCGCCCCCCAGCTGAGGCGTCCATGACAGCACCCAAACCACTTCGCAAGCCTGCAGGCAGGGTGGGGGACCGTGACAGCAGGCACCTATGAATGTCTCTTGGGGACAAGGAGGGCACCCTGGAAGGCGACTCTGGGGCTAATGACATGCCACACCTGTGCTTCCTGCCAAGCCCTCTCCCTGCAGCAGACCTCTCCGCACCCTGAGAAGGGGGCTCTGCACTCCTGCTGTCTGCGAGTTCTTTTGCCCTTGATCCCTTTCACTTACTCTCCGGGCAGAGCCTTGTACAGGAAGGTGGGCACAAGCAAACCCATCCTGGGCTTGCCTCAGGCTGCACGAAGTGCAAAGACAGCTATGGCTCATGAAAGGGAGTGACTGACAAGAGCTGCCGCAGCCCCTCGTACGCACTGCACTTGCTTTCTGCCCAGAGTGTCTGTTTAGTCAAACACTACGCACACCGCACACTGGATTTACAGTGCACGAAGTGTGAGCTCTGGCTCCTTCCCGGGCAGTTCTGGGGCAGAGGGCAAGTGTGTTGGGGATGGTGAACAGCACCCCAGCCCCTACTGACCAGTGTCTCCTCACCTGTGACAACCAAAAATGTCTCCAGACATTGCCACAAATGACCCAGGACTTGTCCACGGGGAACACGACTGACTGAGCAGCAGGTGTTCGTTCTGTGACGGCTTCAAGCCAGTTAGGAATCTGCCTGAAAACAGTGAGCTCTAAGACCCCACCACGGAGCAGCCCAGGCCCACAGGCTCCACTTCCCAGTGCCTGTGCCCGGAAGGTGCTGAAGTTCAAGTTCCTGTCATGTTCCCCAGGTCTGCCCCTCCCCTGCCGCCCAGTGCCTCCATGCGTCTGCCTGGACCCAAACGCAGGCAGAGGGCAAACCCGAGAAATGACTTGGAGTGAGCCTCACACATCACGCTGACAAGGCTTCTTCACTGCCAGTCAGCAGCAGTGTTAGGAAGCAACCCACTTGGGGCAGTAACTCACGATGCACTTGAGGAACCTGCTGGTCCTGACTCTACCTGGAGTTGGACAGTGTCTGGGGTGCCGCATGGTGGTATGGGTAAGACAGGCAGATGCGGCCCCACATCTCTCTGGAGGGCATGAGCATTGCCCGGGCTGGACAGACGCCCCAGCCAGGACACCCTTGCTGCCCAGCTGCCGGGAGCGTGACAGCGGGGACCCAGAGCTGCCCCTCCGGTGGCCTCTCCGAAGATGGGGGCTACTGCACCCAACAGCCAGGTGCAGTGCAGACACCTGTGGGCGCTGCAGCTCTGGGGTGCACAGGCTTTGTTGCAGCTGCTCAGCTTCACCTCTGCCCAACCCTGTTTCCTCCCTACACTTCCACCGACGGTGATACCAATTCGTCAAAGCTAACTTGCCAAAATCCACCTCGGCTACCAGAGAAGCTACCTGGGGCGGCCGACCTCCAGACAAAGCTAATCCCCTACCTGCCCCTGCAGCTGCAGGAGGGGCCCCAAACTTGTCACGGGGCTTTCTGGGTGGAGGCCCTCAGCCTCCTCTGGTCATGTGTGCCCGAGAAAATGCCCACAGGTCCCTACCGAACAGACACCACTCCCTTGCAGGGAGATAGCATGTACTTCTCTCTCCAAAACTGCCTCTGAACACCTGTCCCATTTCCTGTCCTGCATCGCCTCCTTCCCCAAAGGGACTGCAGGACGGGCAGCAGGTGCTGATGAGGCTGTGGGAAGACTGGTGGGACCCAGGCCAGGTCCGATGGCGAGTTTGTACGGGAGAGGTGATTCACCTGGGAGATTCTGATCAGGCCCCTGGCAAGTCCCGGCCCCAGGCAGCGTGGGGAAGGTGGGGCGCAGGCTGGTGGAGCTGGAAGGCAGGAGTGTTGGGGGTGACTGGAGGGGGGCACAAGATGCCACGGGGGCTGACGGCCAGGGCCAGACAGGGGACCCAGGGCAGCCCCTGGGGTCCTGGGAGGCTGTGCCACCCTCAGGAAGGAGAGCTTGCTGCAGCGGAGCGAGCGCTCCAGAGACCCAGGTGTGAGCACAGGATGCGATGACCACACAACAGAAACCATAGCCAAGCCATAGGGTTTGGGGGCCGGCGGCCGAGGCACAGCTGGGACCAGATGCACACTCCAGGGGGAGCACAGGCGGCCGCTCACCCACACCTGTGACTGGCATGGTCAGCTGCTGAGTGGGCGAGTACACCCGACGGGGGGCAGGGACTGCACTGAAGCCTCCCTGGCGCAGAGGCAAGGAAAACCCTGACAGGGGACATACCCAGCCATCGCCCAGGGCAGCAGGAGCGGCAGGTCCAGGTCGGAGTAACACTGACCACGGGAGGGCTGTGAGGCCCGCAGGCGGTGGAGCCACAGGAAAGGGCAGAGGGCTGTATCAAGTTCCTGTCTGTGGGGGCATCCACCATGGAAGGGGCCCTGCATGACAACACGAGCCAGCTGGGCTGCTGGCTGAGGCGGATGCATGAACTAGGTGGCCGTGGTGTGCGATGTGGAGCTCCACTGCTGGACCCAGGCTTGGGAAGGTGAATCAGCTGTCAGTGCCCGAAAGTCCAGCCTGCCAGCGGGAGACGTCAATGCTAAGCCACTGGGCCACAGCATCCTGAGGATACTGCCCTGTCGGCACAGTGACTGCACTGGGAACGGACCCTTCCTCCAGGTCTGCGGGTCCTGCCCCCAAGTCCTGCCCCACCAGCCTCTGAGGATCCCAGGGCCAGAGTACCGGGTCGACCAGAAGACTCTCCTTGCACCTTGGGGCCTGCGGCCAAGTCACGGCCGCACCTGCAACAGCTGTGGCCAAGGGAGCATGGGCGCTCCTGGAGGATGCACAGCTGTGCACAGTGCACTGCACACCTTGCTTCAAGGTCGGGTCTCCAACAGGAAGGAGAGCAGCCCGCACAGCAGGAAGCAGGGGCCTCTTGGGCTTCCCTGTCCAGTGTGCAACGGCAGCCATTCTGGCCCAAGCAGGCATAGGCCTGAGCCCCTGGGATTTCACAGGACGACACACTGGTCTCCTGAGACGAAAAAGAATCCAGCAGCAGAGTGGCCAGCTGAGCAGCAGAGTGCGGGCTGCGGGGTCGGCCCTTCCAGCTGGGAAGCAGCAGCTCTGATCAGGTGTGGCAGTGGGGCTGCTGCTTCTTCTATCTTCCTCCTCCCCTTCTCTGACTTCATTGACAGAATTTTCTCCTTCTCCTTCTCCTTCTTCTTTTTAAAATCTTTGGGGTACGCTGAAAATTATGGAAAGTTGACTCGTGTTCCAAAGACAGTCCTCCTGGCCTCCCCCGGCTCTCCCAGGTCAAGCTGCTGCCGAACACCTGCTCAAAGCCAGAAAGGGACACGGACACCATGCCGAAGCGCTGGCCTTGCACAGCTGCGCCCTTCCTTCACTAGGGCTGCATTCAGGCCCACGCTGCGACCCCATCTGAGAGGCAGAGTCCCACAGGCGGCTGGGTCTGCCTGAGACGGGCTGGGACCACCCAGAGTGAGGCAGCCCTCCAGGGAGCTCCAGAGAGTGGCGGCTGCCGTGGCCGAGCGCGTCAGGCCAGGGTGCACTGTGGTCGACGGCTCCGTCGTGAGCCGGTGCCTGCCGCCTTCTCCACCGCGAGCAGGGAGGGGACACAAGCACCCTTGTCCTTGCCACTCACTGTAACACTCTCAGGCGGGTCCTGCCCGAAACGAGAGGGTTCCTGCCTAACGGATCCCGAGTTTCCACCGGGAGGGCCCTGACCCAGAGCTGTACCACAGGCCCCACTGTGGGCTCTTGCTGCCCGCTGCAGGTGGTGCTGTGGGCACAAGGCCACCAGCTGCTTCAGGGCCCTCCCCAGCTGCAGAGCCACCTGTCCTCAGGCACCCCGCACACCACGAAGGTGCTCTGGAGCTTTCGGGGAGTGGGAGTGGCCAGGCGCTGCCCTCCTGCACCACGGCCAATGCTTCTCTGCCCAGTCCTGTTTCCTCTCTGCCCCTTCCACGGGTGCCAACCACCCAAGAATTCTGCCCTGTGCCCAACGTGCCTCGGTGTCTGCCACCAAGAGCCCAAGGGGACGCACCTTTTGCCCTACCTCAGGGTCTATGGAAGGAAGTGCCAGGAATCACTTGTGAATTACGAGCTACAACAGAAACGCCAAGTATTATCACAGGTGGACTCATTGAAACAGTCAACGAATCAAAACCACAACATCATATGGAAAAACTTCCTCTCATCTTTGCAACTTTACTCATTTACTCCTCATGTACAGCTTTTAGGTTATTAGGTAAAGAGCTTTTCTACTGCAAACTTCACTGTTTGGGTCACAAACTGGGCATTACTGACAGTGGCTATGGGTGGTAATCATGCAAAGCTTCTTGGGACTCCTTAGGGGAAGATGCGAAACAGTATCACAATGTTCCACGAACCAGAGCAAATTACAAGTGTACTAGAAGGAGAGTTCTCACATGACATATTGTATATACGGAGAAAAACAATATCCAAATCAGATTTCTTCAGGATGTTTTCTACAATGATTTTTAAAAAGGTACTCACAGATGCTCCTCCCATAATCTTGGGAAACATAACGGTAGAGCAGCCATCTGGACTCTGTCCGAAGGTAGCATAGGGTGTTTGAAACCAAGCCTTTTCAGTAGCCCAAACCACATCACAAAGAGGCAATATGGATGCTCCTAGTCCAATGGCTGGGCCATTTACTGCTACAATAATAGGCTTCTTAAACTGAATGAAAGTATTCACGAAGTTTCTAAAATGAAAAATAAATGGGAAATTACTCAAAACATTGTATATTTGAGCAGATAAAAAAAAAAATCTACTATGGAACTCAATTTACCAAGAATAAACCCTGGAAATCATGAAGAGCTGAGATTTGTTTGAGACCTTCCCCCAGAAGTTGCAGGCTGTGGACTTATTTGCTGCGTGGTGAGAAGGCTTCAGGTAGGCTGGGCACCACACAGCGTTGCAGTGAAGGTGGTGGGCTGACAGCAGCAGCTGGGACTGCTCTTTAGTTTGCAGTTGGCTCTTGGGTTCTCTGACCAATGCACCTTGCTCCTTAACCCTCCCCATAAACCCATAACACTATGGGCTTCGCGTGACCAGTCAAGGGGCCATCCTAGAGGACACCTGGCCGGGCCTGCTGTGACAGCAGCGGCTGGGGTCTGGCTTTGGTATGGGACTGCAGACAGCTCACTGTTAGGTGGAAATAACAGCTGTTTCCTGAGTCTGACCCGGTGACCTGGGGGACTAGTATACGGCGAGACTGGCCAACAAGATCAGCAAGCACAGGGCCCCGCCTGCCCTCCAGTGCACACCCACTGTGAGCTGGTGCCTCCCACAAGGCAGGAGCTCAGAGGGGCGAGCAAGGCAGGGAGGGGCAGGCAGCCACACCCAGCCAAGGCGGTCTGTAGGTCTGCAGAGTTCCAACTCAGGGTGCTCCCTGCTTGGAGGCTGACTGTGTGCTCAGAGCGGGTTTCTTGTTAGGACGGAACACGATGGGAAAAAGGGTAAACACGGATGGAGCAAACAAAGGCTGATCCCTTCTAGGCCTTCTGAGTTCTGTCACAGAACTACAGAATAAACAGTGCTTTGTGCTGGGCTGGATTCTAAACCCGAGCCCATCATGAGCACGCGAAAATAGCCCCCCAGTTTCCACAATGCAGCAACTTAGAAGCCGGTGATTTGCTTAGATCTCTGAAAGTCATGACGTGGCACCTCAGGCAGCGCCCCTCACCCCGAGACCCCAGCAGGTTGGGCCATGGAGTTTCTTGAAGGGGCAGGATGGCGAGGTGAGTGGGTTGTGTGGAGGGCAAGGGAGAGAAGGGGCAGAATTCAGCCCCAGGGTGCAGTCAGTGAGGGGCTCCAGGCGCCTCGAGGTTTACAGGGCCTTTGCAGTGACCAAGGATGAGCTCATTCACCTGAGTCGCAGGGAGGCTTCTTAAAGGACAGCAGCCAAGGCACTGCTAGAAAATCACACTGGGGTTTACCGAGCCTCTGGGGCTCAGGAAATTGGCCTGGAGGAGCCAGCGAAGGACTTCAGGGTGCTGCCTGGGACAGTCTGGGGTTGATGACAGGGGTGAAAAGCTGTTTTCAGTGCTGCTTCTGATGCCTTCTGCAGGAGGTGGAGAGGATGCTCCCCAAGTTTGTCTCTCCCAGGTGCCAGGAGTGGCTCCTCCAGAGCTGACATGGAAGCCACGCAGGGGCATGTGTGTGCGCGCATGGGAAATCAGCACGGAAAGAAGGATCAGAACTAGTGGAATAAAATGGCTATGCAGACAAACAGTAACTGGAATCTACTACTTCATGCAATACTGGTCTCTTCCCACATCGTTCGTATAAAACAAGATGAGAATTTTCACTTAGGCTGGAGAAATTTTAATTCTGCCTGGGACGATAACTTTGATTGGACATGTGCCTCTTCCTGGGAGGGAGGGAGACTTCGCCAGCACACCCAGAAGTGAAGATCTCCCGTCTCCTCTTCCAGAGAGAGGCACTTTCTGATGGGAAAGCACTGAAATGGCAGAGAAAATGTGGCTCACACAGAAAACTGCTTATTTAAACAACAACAACAAAAATCCTAGAAATTCCCTGCCTGGCTCTGATTTCTTAAGGCCTCAAAAATTTATTAATTAGCACTTTGAGCTACAAATCAAGCCACAGTACTTGGAGAAGGAGGGAGGGACTGGCCACTGCTTCCGCTGGGTGTATTTACAACTTAAAATCAAACTCATGAACATGTGTGTGTGAGATGCAGTACTGAATTCACACGTTTCTTTTGAGTTATCTGTTAACTGAAACAAAGACTGTGCTGCTCTGGCAGGGAAGGAAAGGGATGTCCTTGTCACGTAATTAGTTTAAGAAGATTTATAACTAAGCAGAATTCTTCTTGGGAAGAACATTTACTAATTCATAGGCAGAAAAAAGTTAGATAATAACGTAAGAAAAGAGTCTAGGAATTGTCTGGAGAAAAGAGGCAACAAGGATCTACTTTTTTTCCCTCGGTACCGGGGACTGGATCCAGAGCCTGTGCACTGAGCTACATCCCCGGCCCTTTTTAATTTTGGGGCAGGGGCTCACAGACCCAGTTTTAACGGCTACGTTGCTGCCTCTTCCCAGCTTCGATTCACTTTCAATGTCTGGACAAGAAAAAGTGAATGTGGGCCATGGCAAGTTCTAGTGGCAGTTTACGTGCCGGCTTTATTTCCTCTCCAAATCCTCTAATCAGGGATCTGCTCACCCAGAACCCCCTTCCCTCACCTCCCTCCTTCATGGGAGAAGGCGCCTCACTTCGGGGAGAGGAGCCCCCGCTCTGACCTGCAGCCAGGGCAGCAGCCAGGGTTCCCTAGACTTGCAAAGCCTCATGGTACATCGATGCCCAGAATTCTGTTTCAATCACTCACGTGCTGGATACTTCATTACAATTAATCTGCAAACTGGTTATCACCAAATTCTGATCACGGGAACTGGCTGCCCTGGATACCTGACAACTGATGTTTAATCCAATCTTCCTCTTTCTCAGTTTTCTTCTGGAAACTTGCTACAATGAGGTCCTCTGCCTCAAAGCTTTAAGAAATTGGAGATAAGATGCCACAGGAAAAAAAAAATGTACATAGTAAGAGCTTTTGTGTATAAGCCAATCTTATCCATGTAAAAATTAATTTAAATGCAAATGAGCAAGAGAAAAGTTAAGTGAATCTGGTGTAACTAATTATTTTTCTGATTCTGCCAGAGTATATTTAGAAAAATTCACATTGACAAAAATATAGTCTTTTAAAGAAGAAACAAGCAGGCTCTTTCCGAGAACCAGTTCAGCTTCTTGTGGAGAGCAAGGGGAACAGAGCAGGGGTGGGAGGGTTGGCAGACATGGGGCGGGGAGTGACAGGAATCAACATTTAAAGCTATCTACAGCTCAAGGAAGGAGGTCTCCATTTAATCAGCCTGGATTTATCTTTTCTGTCTCACTGATCTCGACACCATGAGTCAGCCTCGAGCCTTGGCCACGGGAAGGGGATCCAACACTGCAGGAGGAGCAGGCTGGGCACCAATGAGACCTATAAGCAGAGCTCAGGAGAAGGGAGCAAACAGAGGAGGCTCTCACTGGCTGTCGGCTCGGCTCCTCCCTACAGCAGAGCTATGAAAAGCACCATATCATGTGTGAGTCTGGTGTGAGCGAGTAGAAAATGTAGTTACCACGGCAGGCATAATGGTTTGTACTTTTAAAATGTACCTTACGTGGGGGCCGGGTATTTAGCTCGGCAGTTTCGCTGCCTGCTGTGCAAGTGCAAGGACCCGAGTTCGATCCCCGGTACGGAAAAAAAAAAAAAATTGTACCTTACGTCACATAGTTTGTCCCAAACAGGTGGGTTAAGAGTGAGGAACACCTACAAGTGGGTGCCAGATTCTACTGTCCAAAAATGATGGACCCTGTTTAATTAGCTTAAGTGCAGCAGCTTAATTCCAAGTTGATGAAGAAGATGGTGCCATCGACTACCAGACCACAAGTCTGAGATTATTTAGGAGGCCAAAATACTTAAGAAGGTCAGAGTATAAAATTTCAAACTACAAGGCCAGGGATTTAGCTCAGTGGTACTGCACCTGCCTCACAAACACAAGGTCCTGAGTTCGATCCCCGGTACGCCCCGCCCCCAAATCAAACTATTTCTATAAAATAACTATCATTAAAAATGGCAATGCTCAGAAACATTAGGGAACAACCTCCTAGATACAAGTGTATATATATATTAATTTTGAAAGTGATTAATATATTACAAAAGGCCAAGTAACTCCCAAGTGTGGGGATCCAGGATTCCGCCGATGGGCGGTCATCTCTCCAGGAAAGTGGCCCTGCCATACCTCAGACTCACAACGGCGGCAGCAGAATCCAGCAACCCAGCCCTGCTGTGCACCTTGACAGCAGTTGAGGGGACCAGGAAGCCCAGTGGCAGGAGGGCAGTGCTCAGACCTCAGCTGACAGAGCCTGCGAGCTGTCCACACCTCAACTCCAACTCTGTGAGGATCTGGAGTCTTAGAGCAGAGCCATCCCATTTTACTGCCATTTTGCAAGCCCGCAACTCTAGCTTTTTATCCTTGATGAATTAAAAAGGTAAACACAAAAGATTCTTAGGGGTCATCAAGGATATGTGCTTTTGAAAGGTGAGTGGGGAAGTACAAATCTTACTGGTTGATGACTGGTTTCATTCACTGTACAGAAAATTCACCTCTGAAATATTAGATAGGTGTTTTCATGTACAGTGATCAGCAAGATGAATGAGGGGATGTGCTGGCAGCAGAACTGGGTGGTTGTGGGGAAGGCTTTGGGAACTCTTACTACGGTGGTGGAAAATCTAACAGTGAGGGTATAAAGTATGTCAAAGTCACACTGCTGGATGAAAAATGCAAGCTGCAAAGGAACATGGGATAATTCCACTTATTTCATAGAACTATAAATAAATCTGTATTATCTGTGTATAGGAAATATGTATGTGAAAATGCTTAGATCAAGAGGCTACTGCACATCATGGTGGCTGTCAGTAGTAATATACTGATAGTTGAAAAATGCTAAGACTGAATTTCACATGTTCACACCTCCCTCAAAAACACTGAGATGGTACATGTGTTAATTAGCTTGAGATAGCCATTCCACAATGTATGCATGCTTCAAAACATCAGGTTGTGCACTGTAAGTATAAGCAATTTGGGGGGTGGCTGGGGTTTCTGAGACAAGATCTTGCTTTGTAGATTAGGCTGGCCTTAAACTCACTATTGTAGTCCGTGTTGGCCTTGAGCTCTGTCTCCTGAGTGCTGGGATTGTAGATGTGTGCACCACGCCTGGCTCCCGTATAAGTAATTTTTATGTCATTTAAAAAGTAAAAAACCCTTAAGAACAAGTCTTTAGAAACAGGATTAGGAAGACATACAAGTGAGTGGTGGAAGAGAAAGGGAACTTCACTTTTCAGCCTCTGTTGTCTAGTTTTCTGTGTGGTTGGCACTTAGGAGGAACCTGAAGAAAAATGTGCCCTGCCTGTACTAAAAAGAAAGATCTTTCCATGTGGTCTCATGAATTGTCACCAAGCCTAGGCAACTGATTTCAGAGTTAAGCAAGTGAAGTTAGTATTTGGAAGAGAGTGCGTTTTTCTTTAGGGTGAGGACAGAACCCACTTGCAGCGCAGATCAAGAGGCCTCCCTGTGCCTGAGACTGGCCACGCTGCGTTCTGATCACCAGCCCTTCCTGCACACTTGCTGGCCTCAGCCGGCCTCGAAGCTGGTGCTTTGCCCAAGGCAAGTGGCAATTGATGGCAGGCCCCAAGAAAAGACAGATGTTCTAATTAATTTTGCTACCAGTGTGTCTCAGAGGAAGATGCACATTTTCTTCTCAAGGCTTGTCTGGGCTTTCGTTCTCGGATCCGTACACTAAAAACAAACACCCAAGCCAACGTTCACACACAGTGTTGCTGCATACCTGATCGCCTCGGCCATTTTAGTGCTTTCTCTTTTCCGGTCATCTGTGAGACGCCGTATGAAATAAATAAAGTCGAGACCGCAGCAGAAGACGCTGCCGACTGCGCTGAGCAGCACCAGCTTGCTGTCATCGGCCGCGGCCGTGTTCAGAGCACTCTGGACTTCTTTCATGACCTGAAAGTCACCACAGGTTCAAGCGGTCAACAACATTCTGGGCACAGACTCTTACAAGCACTCTACACGGGGCGACCAAGGGCTGCAGGAAACACGTCCAGCCCAAGGGGGCTCGTTCCATCCACCACGACTTAATGTTCGAGTTGGGGTACTGGGATGGCGTACAAATACAGCCACATACAGAATTATAAATAATTAGAGAGACACAGGAATCCAAGTCACCACGGCCTTCAGCCAGTGCAGTTCTCAGCAGAAACTAGGCAAGTTACACATCATCTCTACTGGGTATTTCTGCAGTTTGGACAGCAGGTGGCACATTCAACCAGTTCAAAGAAAGGCGTTCAGTTTGGTTTATTTTGGCCATCCCGCTCCCCTTTTAAACCATCCTACCACGCTTGGGATGCAGACCTAAATAGTTTGGTGCACAAGTGCATTGAAGTCAAGCATATTGGCATGGGAAGGTTATTTTAGAAGGGCACAGAATCAGTTAAAATGGTCCCTAGAAAGCATTAAAAAATAACCAGCAAAGGGACCCTGCAGTCTAAAAATGTACCGAGGCCCGGCCCTAAACTGGTTTGTTATGTGACCCTGGCCAAACACGGGCTTTCTGTGGTTTGGTTTTCTTGTCTGGAATCATCCTGCCCAAGATGCTCATAAGCAGAAAACAAGCGACCCTCGAGCTGGGAAATGCTGCAGTATGGGGCAGATCCAAACACTCCTGCTTCCAGAGACGCTGCAGAGCCGAGTCTGAGACTCAAGCACTCGACTCCCCGGGTCTCTGGAAGCTGCCTTCCTGACTACTCAACACGACTGGACCTCTCTGCCACTGTGTGTCCTGCTACAATGCCGTCACTGGGTGAAGACACAATCTCGGAAGGGGCTGGGACCCAGGGCATTTTACTCTTGTTTGAACAAAGAACCTATCAAGAGGGGATGAAGGCTAAAGTAAAGTGTGCATGCACACGCTTGCCATGTGACTTTAGGGAGGCCACAGGCTCCCTGGGCCCCATGCCTTATGGATGAAGAGCTCCTGACCTGGAAGGTGACAAGGACAGAGCCCACACCCAGGAGATGGAGTGGACATCAGCACACGCCTACTGCCTGTCACTGCAGCCGCAAGTCTGAGGTCACCTCTGCCCCCTACCTTCCGGTGGGCCTCAGGAACAGTTAACCCTGGAAGGGTTAGAGAGCGCACAGAGGAAAGCACCAACTCTGCCAAGCAGGCTGGGGAAAACGGGTGTGGAGAAGCAGGAAGCACAAATCGGCCCAAGGAACGTCTCTCACCTCTGGATTTAGTGAGTTATTCTCTGATGATTTTGTGGACAACAAGATGTGGGTGAAGCCATCCTGCTTCCAGACGACAATATCTCTGTATCTGTAGGCACTCTCTGTTTGCCTCACACTGAAACGCAACCGCTTGTCAAAAGGCTGGTCTCTTCTGTCGTCAATAAATTTCCTTTTCCCGGCTGTCACTCCTGTAACAGACGTCTGTATGTTGGTTGTTCCATTGGCTGTGAGCGCATCCATGAACGGAGACGTACCTGCCAAGAGTGTGAAATCACAGTGCTGTGTGATGTCCTACATGAGGCCACTGCCCAGACATCTCTGATTCAGAGCAGAATGCACACCACAAACCCAGGACCTAAGGGAGGCCTCAAGAAGGTTAAAAACCAGAACTTTCAGAAAGTCTACCTTTAAAGTAATCATTTTCCTTCAGTGCCTACGAAGGAAGTCACAATCTTGCTGATCTGGCCTAAAAAACAAAGATGGAGAGGTACTTACTGAAAGGAAGCTACAGAACTTGAGACTTCTGAAGAATGGAACTGGAAAAGAATGGGTCTCGTGGAAAGTAACTACTTTAGGTTTGAGAAGTTGAAAGGAAAAGGGAAGCTAACTCAAGAAAATACTATCAGAGTGAAGGACGTTTGCCAGATTCCCTTTTGTGAACGCCAGAGGGACCTGCGTGCACGTGCACACACACACACACACACACACACACACACACACACGAATGCAGCCATCGACCTGCTCTGCAGGCTGAGAGGAGCGAGGTGGTTGCCACTTCAGGCACCACCCTGGAGAACGGTGTGGATGGCCAGCGCTCTTCCCCGGCACCGGCTACTTGTAGGCCAGTCCACTGCAATGGTTGTTTACCAAACAACCATTTGAATAGCTCCAGACAGCTCTCCCTCGTCTCGACTGGCCACATAAAATGTTCCCTCATGTGTCACAGAGCTCTTCAACATCAACAAGGATGACTTTCCTCTTTCGTTTTTGATGCTGGGGAAGGAACTGGGGCTTCATACACAGTAGGTAAGTGTTCTAACACTGAAGCAAACCTCCATCTTCTAACTTAATCTTTTATTATCATGAAAGTGAGGGGCTTGACACTTTATACTAGAGCTACCAAGATGGGCCAGAGGAAGACTTCATGTAGGAAGACAAATAATTATCTTCCCAGCGATCTAAACTGCCTAAATATTAGCTAACATGGTAATAAATGTACAGAGCTTCTGAATGGAAAAGAGAAGGAAAGAAATGTGAAAATCACTTCAGGCTTTACTAATAAAATTAGTAATGGTAAAAGTTTTCTCAAACAAAAATCATAAGAAATAATAAATCAGGGCTGGGGATGTAGCTCAGTGGTTCCGCCGCCTGCCTCGCAAGCACAAGGACCCAAGTTCCATCCCTGTACCAAAAAAAAGAGAAATTATAAATCAGGAATCTTTCAGAGTGAAAGAAAATAAGCCAAAATCATCAGAGAAGACCTATAAATAGACATTTTAACAAAGCCAAGTATTTCCCTGGTAAGACAACTTGGCCTTCATTCCATTGGTAGAGAAATGGCATTATCTATTTTAATCTTTGGAATTAAAAAAAAAAAAACGATCCTTTAAGAAGTTCAAGAGTAGTAACACAATGCCATGTTTTAAGAATCCAAGGATATAAAGAGATATGTGATGAAAGACACCTCCATTTACCCAGGACCCTGTCCTCCACGGACAGCCCCTGGGGCTGGTTTCTCAGCATTCTCCTACAGAGTCTTGATCTATATACAACAAACAAACAAAAAACCAACCCCCCTCCAACATCTCTCTCCTTTCTACTCTTTCAAAAAACACAGTGGCAGCGCACGAGACATGACGTTGTGTCTTGTACACACGTTTCTAGCAGAGCACCTTGGGAATTTGCTCTCCATCGGGACAGTTTATTCTTTTTTCTTTTGGTACTGGGGATCGAACTTAGGACCTTGTGCTTATGAGGCAGGTGTGGTGCCACTGAGCTAAATCCCCGGCCCACTTTATTCTTTTCTAAGGCCATGCAGCAGCCCACAGTATGGATGTCCTAGAATTCATTTTCCCAACCCACACTGGAATAATGTTCAATGATTTTTAAGAGTATTACAAACAGTACAGCAATGGGTAGGCGTTAGCCCATCATTCCAACGCTGGCAGTTCTACCGGTAAGGTCTCGAAGGTTTGTAACCCGAAGTATTGCCGACTGAACGCCAAGCATTTGGTACGGCATCATCATCAGGATGGAGTGGATCCTGAGCAACTTGGGAAAGTCCTTTTCTCTTTCTTTAACCTTCATCTTTTCTTCCACCAGTCCTTCGCCTTTCTGTTTCAAACTTTTCCAGTCTTTTCTCCCCAGAAGCCCAGTAATCTGCTCTTCTCCTCAGCATGGTCCTCTATTCTCATGCACAGTGCTGCCTCATCCAGTCTATACTCGCTGTGGCCTTGTCCACCATTCCTTCACCTACTGCGATCAGAGCTCGAGTCAACACAGCCAGGCAACTTCTGAGTCCAGAGAAACAGGCCTGGGTGACGCTGAGCCCCTGAGCCCTCCGGCAGGAGAGAGAAACATCCACGGGGGCTGACGAGTTGAGGCAGCAGGGGAGGGACTCCTTCATCTGGGTAAGATGCTGCAGGGCTTGGGGTGGGGACACAAAGGCAGGCTGGTGTCGGGTGACAGCTGGACTGAGGAAGAGCAGGTGTGGGAGGAGGGGCCTGTCCTGGCAAGGACAACGTGGGCATGTGCAGAGGGCCTGTGCTGAGGGAGGGCAGGTCAGAGGTCTTCCCTACACTGGGCCTGTGGTCTTCCGAGAGCGTCAGGCACAGGAGCCGGACTACAGGACAATGAAAGGCACAAATGTTAAATAAAAGCCATAAATGTTCATTCAATCAAGAAATGGTTAAAACAGTGTTTTCTTAGGTGCCAGGGATTGAACACAGGACCCTGCACTTGCAAGGCAGGCATGGTGCCACTGGGCTACATCCCCGGCCCCAAAAAGGGTTTAATAGAACCCCAAAACACAATTCCTAGGTGATGCTGACATGAGGACTTTCCTGGGTCAGGAGTAACTGAGGCAGCAGGGAAGCCGTGTGGAGGGATCCACTACAGGGATGGACTCGTGGTCACAGGCCGGATGGGGACTTGGGCCTTCTCAGCAGGCATGTCCCACCTGCAGGGCGCTGGGTCTCCAGGAGTCACTTAGCCCGAATCGGACTTTTAACTGATGCTGTATCGAAGTGCAGAAAGGTCGGTATCATTCATGTGCTGAAGTCCTCACCTCCACGGTGGTGATACAGGGAACTGGAGCCTCACAAACGGGACCCTCGCCTCTGAAGGGCATCACAGACAGGAGAGCCAGGAAGCACGCACTAGATACCACCTGCCAGCTCCTTGCCTTGGGCTTCCCTGTTTACAGAACTGAGGGAACCGATCTCTGCTGTCTAGAAGCCACCCGGACGATGGTGTCTGTGACAGCAGCCTGAGCTGACCGAGGCAGGTGCTGACCCCTGGCGGCTGCATCCTCTAGGACAACTCCAGGCCGCCTCAGGGTCAGCCTCTGCTACCCTGAACTTGTCTTTCTTTTCATAGCATTTTTTATTTCTCTGTTTAAAAGCTACAGACTCCTCAAACTCTCTGAGAACTTTTCCTTCTGCGGAAGCAGGATTTCCAGCCTATCATGCCCACGTGGCCATTCCCTGTGAGCTTCAGAAAAAGCCCCACACAGTCTTTGAGAAAACAGTGCCTTTGAAGCTCTCCGTGCTTCTGCAATTTAGAAATGGATCAGTTTCAGCTTGGGCTCCCCAAGACTACTGAACTGGGTTTTTGGCCTCTTGTGTAAGAAGTATGTTGGCTTCCTGTATCACTGAGGTCCCTGCTGAGTCTGATCCTCTAGGGCCTCAGTGCCTCAACCCCACGCGGCTCCCAGAGCTCCTGTTTCCCTTCAGGTGTTTAGGAGCAGCAGTGCTCACGACAGAACCGAGCTTAGAACCACAGGCCACCAGTGCCGACACCCCAGAGCAGGGTCCCTGTTTCTCTCGCTCACTTGTGCATCCCCAGTGCTCACAATGCGTGTAAAATAGTTACTGAGCAACAAATGAAGCCCCTACAGTGCAGATGCTTGACTGAGAGACGAGAACTTTTGCGACCCGCCAGACACCACTCGGCTAGCTGATTATGTCAAGCCAACCTCAACACTTCAGAGCAGAACCGACTGCTATGACTAAACCAAAGGTGAACCCGGAGATTCAGGGAGAAACATCCTCCGCGAGAAACTGTGAGTGCAGGGTGCCTCCGGGACCAGCAATTCTTGGGGAAACAGAGGTTCTGAAGTTGTCGCTGGAACTGACAGTTCCTTAGGGGTTGGGATGCAGAGCCTACCAATGCTTTCCTGTGATTTGGTTAGGAAAGAAACCTATTTTAGTGTCTCTTCTAATAACGGGTTTTTGCTTAACATGTTCAAGGCAAAAGAGGCGTCCTCAGACACAGATGATTAATCTGTTCAACATCACAGCTTCACAAAGGCTCTCTAGAAAGGACTCCTGGCATCTGTTCCCAACCTTAGCAAGAACCGCATCTGGACTTCCTCACCTCCACTGACAACCAGGAAACAGAACGACATACATGGAGTAACTGTCTCCGACCCCAGTCAGCAGGGAGGGCTCATTCCCAGAGAGAAAGGCACGGGTGAAGGCGGCCAGGACACCCTCGGCTGCCCCATGGAGGGGTCCAGAGGGGAACTTGGCCCAGTCTGGCAAAAATGCTCAAGTAGGACACAGTGTGCGGACCCAGCAGGCTACCATGTGTGGGGCAGGACGAGGGAAGCGAGGGAGCTACAGAGAAGGTTCCAGGAGTGTCTCGAGATCCCCTCGAGTCCTTGCTGACACCAGTGCAGGCACGTACAGGGAAAGGTCTACAATTCTCACACAAACAGCGTTTGAGGGAAGAGCAGTTACTGGAGACCTACAAACTAAATAATTCCCACAGTCCACCCAGGCAGGGGTCCTCACCAGCCAGAGAGGAAAGACCTCACGGAATACACGAACATTCAATGGAGACCCCAGATCCGGAGCAAAGTCAGCAGTGAAACTAATTCCAGTCTGGAATAGAGGATACTTAGAATTACACTGACAAAGCTTAAAAGCAAGCCTTGAAAGGACCAAATTGACACAAAGTTACGCTGTCCTGGCAGAACAAACCCCACACTTTAAAAAAGCATATAACACAATGCAGAATCGCAAACTGAATT